GCAAATATATCTGCATGCATCAACACCTTATTGAACAAGTCAAGCGTGGATTTGCTAATCTTGTTAGTCAATTTGCAATACTTCTGTGGCTTTCATAGAGGTGTCTGTGCCAAGGGCCAGGGAGGCTGAAGTGCACAGCAGTGACAAACAGGATAGAAGGAGGGAGTAAAGATTTTAAAAGTCCCTTCTCCATGTTAGAGCTGTTAGCAGTGTGGTGGAAGGTGTCACCTTAACGTATGGCCAAAAGAAAATGAGTCATTTTGTGTATAGACATTTTTGATGGGATGGCTTTGCTTTAGTAATAGATGGTCTCATTTTCATTCAGATTCTCTGGATCTCAGTAACGCAGTTTAAATTAACAGACTTCTTGTTTCCCTGAGTGTCTTGTCCTTCAGCTTTGAAATAACTGTTGCTCTGCTTATAGCTGATGTTTAAGCTGATTTTCAGAATTAGGTACTGGCATGACAAATCTTATTTCATACAAGAAACTAATGCAGAGTGCTTGATTAAAAGTTAAGAGGAAATAAAATGTTCTTTACCAGTTGCTGCTTTGTAACAGATCGGTGCATTGTTCTCTACCTGTAGGCTTCCCTGGGCTTTCCAGATGAGGTTGAATTATATAATCTTATATTGAAATGGAATGAGGGAAGGGAGAAATGCAGCCAAATCACTTGAACTAAGCCAAAATGTCCTAAAGGTCATATTTCCCAGTGCTAAGAAGGAGAAAATAGTCTTTATATGGAATATATTATTCACTACAGGAGCAAAACTGGAGTTTTGAATCTAAATTGAAAGCTGTGAACAGCCACAAGCCTATAAATACAGCTTTTGGATTATAATAGGCCTGGTAGTCTTTGTGTGTCTGTTACAATTTGTAATTTGGAGCAGGGTGTTCTTTGTGAATCTGGTGAGTTTACTGCATCCTTTTTCCTTTTTGCCAGGTGTATTTCCATTAGGATGCATTGTATGTGGCCTGTAAGGGCCCTTCATGCCTGTGCATTGTGAATCCTCTGTGCTTTGTAGCTTAATGGTCTTCTGCAAGGTGAGACTTAGTCTAGAACAAAAAGATTGCTTAAATAGGCATGAAAGCTAAGGAAATGTATCTTCACTTTCCTATTAAAGCAGCACATGTATTACTCTAGCTAAATTTCCTCATTTACATGGGCCACAATCTCGTTGATGATTGACTTTGTTCTAGCAAAAGGCATGCAAGTATTATTTTTGAACAAATGGAGTTTCAAAAAATAAATGCACTCTGGTTGCAAAGTGAATACTGGAGAAATAAGGTGAATTAATAAACTCTCCCAACTTTAAACCTTGTTTTTTTTCCTTGCTGCTGTTTTTCTGGGATCTCACTCCTACTCTTTATGTCAAGCTTGTCGCTTCCCTTTAAAATCTTTTTCAGTGCAGATGGATACTTTAGGGAAATATCATGCTACAGAGAGCACCATTGCTAAGCAGCAAAGTGATGCACATTGGAAGGAACAAAGGGTAACTACAGACTGCGTCTGTATGGGTTACTCTGTTCAAATACACGGACAATGTTGCTGAGATAATTTAGGTTGGGGAGAGCTGAGTATGGGGATTTTTCCAATCTGACTTCAGTATAATGTCTTTCATCCTTCAAGGTTTTCATTAAACACAGTCAGTGTGACTGACTGCATGCCCAAGAAAGTGTAGCAGCACTCCCTAACTTCAATACAACTTGTTCAAGTTTCCTATTTGTGTTACCCAATTGTGTTTAATTGGAATACATTAATATAGCAGACACCTTGCCTTCATCTAACCAGATTTAGGGCTGAGAATGAGTAGAAAGGTCTTATCTTAATGAAAATGAATTTTCTTCTGTCTGAACAATAATGCAATAAAATGATCAACCTTCTTTTTTTAAGCTGTTAATTGCCTGCATGTGTAATGCTACCTAGCGACGTTTTCAGCAGTGCCTGGTGAGGGCCCTGCTGTTGGTCAGAGATTTCCAGAGAGGGCTGAAAGATAACATTATTAGTAACAATTAAGACAAATGTTTCTTTTGTGGCTTGAAGAAGGCCCATTTAGCAAAATCTCTCAAAGGCAAGGCACTGAGGATTTGCAAGGCTTTATTTATTTTGTAGGAAAGTAAATTGTTTGAGGGAGGGGAGGAACTGGAGTGTACATTAGACCCAGCATAGCAGCAGTCAGAGGCACTGGAGGAATGGCACCAGTGCAGGCCCAAGTGCAGAGAAGTGGGATTTCATATACAGTAAAGGGTGAGAAACAGCTACCTCAAATATTCTTCTTACAGTAACTGAATGCTTTAGTTCCTGAATTAATTAATCAAGGGCCCTAGACTGCAATGTCATTATGAATAGTCAGAACATTTTCGGCTTGGTGCTTGGCTCATCAGTCTGGCAGACACTGAACTCTGTCAATCCCTATTGAAGTTGTGCCAATCTTCTCACATGAAGTTGATTGATGTGAGCCCTTTCCTCACCATTCATTTGGACAGCCAGACTATGTGTGACTAAATTCTTGGCCATCACAGACATTCAGATGAATTCATTTTGATTAGTTCTAGTTAAGACTTTGGGAAGACATGATGACTGAATTGCCGTTCTTTTCCCTCTCTTGCCCTGTGTCATTCTTGAGCTCTTCCCTTGTCCATCCACAACCATTATGCTCATGCACGCATGCAAGTGAATACACATGCACACATTTCTGTTGCTAGGCATTAATCCATGGGTCCAGGCAGAGTTCAAGAGCTTTTTTATACTAATTGTCTTTTACCAAACTACTCCTCTTCTCTGTACAACGCGATATTGGAAAATCGTGCTGTTTTCTCGGTTGCAGCATTTTAATGACAGAGAAGGAAAGACTAGAGAAGTTCTTCGTCCCTAATATTTCTGCTATCTGGGACAAATTTAGTGTAAATTAAATGACCAGTTCATTTTTTTGCGCTCCATAGGCTGCAGCAAGTAATAAACAGCTTATGTAATCTCCTAATCATCAACTCAGCCAAAAAATGTCATAAAACTCTGCAGTATACAGCACCTCGCAATGATTTTTGTAGCCTGCAGAAACCGTATATTATGAATATGGTTTCCTATGGGTTTTTTTATTTAAATTGTCATTATCCTCCATTTGCAGAAAAGAGAAAGACTTTCTTTTCTTATTAGATGTTCCATTTTAAACCCATATTTATTGCCTTTCTGTGTGCTTGTTAATTCTGCTTGGAGATTGTTTCTTGCTTTTATTGCATTGGAAAATTGATGTAAATATCAGAAATATTAGGGACGAAGAACTTCTCTAGTCTTTCCTTCTCTGTCCCCCTCCCACCTAGAGTGTTCTGGGCTTCTCTCAAATTTCCAGTGTTCCTTTGGTAATTCATCATACTGTTGCATTCTTTATCTATGTGTGTAACCAAAATTTTCATCTTTGACTCCTTGCTCCCACTGTAGGATTTCTCTCCCTCCAGATCTTTTAAACATTTTTGTCCAGCCTAAATAGCATGAAAGTTGGTTTCCATTGCTTCCCATGGGAGGCTTCTTTTGTGGTTTGCTATCACAAGGCATTTTTATAGCCCTTATTTCCCATTTTATCATTTCACACCCAATTTTTAGTAGCCTGTGGAACTGTTGCCTATTATTTGGTATTAACCTGTAAGTGCATTATGTTTTTCTTTTTAAATTTTTGTCATTTAACCTGATCACTGGTATTATAAATTGCTCTCTGTGTCTTACTGCATCTTAATTTTTTTTAATGGTAATACTTAGAGAAAGCATTATAAACAACATGCTCTGTTTCATACTCTGTGATATGAAATACAGTGTTGAGCATTTTCTTCTCAAACCCTTTTAGAGGTAATTTTCAGTTTTCATGGTGCTGTCATTGATGCCAGCCGTATCTCAGCTAGTCTTCCTTCGTGCAATGCATTGAAGAGAATTGATTTGAACAGAATGATAGATCAGTCTAAAAGTTACTTTGGGGGAAACTTTTTAGGGTGATCTTACAGTATCAGAAGTATTTGAAATAGGTTTGTGTGCCTTCAGTTATAAGGGAATACTGCCTTGGAATTCTTCTGAAGGACTTCTTTGTTAAGTCTTGGGAGGGTGATTTGGTACTCCCGTGCAGTTGATCCTCTGCCTTGGGAAACTGGCCCTCTTAATTATTTTCTGTGCAGTTTTCAGTTATATATGTAGCTTACTTTGCATATTTAAATACATGTTCAGATAAAGTGATTTGACATGGGCTTGAACTATTAGTGCTGATGCTGAGTGTTCTTGACTCTTTGAAATTGTTCAAAGGTGGGAGCACTCAGCTCCTCAGCACCTTTCTGAACTACTATGTTGCTCAAATGTCAGAAATGCATTTTATTTGGGCAGCAGAAACTGCCATCTGGTGAACCTTCTTTCTTTACAGTATGAGTTAAGCAATTGCTCAGTGCCATTTGATGAAATTGTGGTGAATTACTTATTTTCAGGCCCAACCATTTCATGAAGGAAGGAAATCTTTTAAGGTGAGCTGATAGGAGTATGAGATGCAGTACAACATACCTGGGATTCATCCAAGAGAAGTAAATGCAACACGCATTGAGGAGGAAGTGCAATGGGAATCGTTTCTGAAAAGGATTTGCAAATTCCTGCCTAATGCAAGGAGGGAGGAGAAAATCCTGACTCTCCTTTTGTGGTGCTGTAGACACTAGCAGAGAAACCCACATACAGGTTTATGGGTCATCATTGCCTGTGGTGCTCTTGCTAAGCACCTTAATGGAACAGTGTTTGTGAAAGGATACAAATTTAAATGCTTTAGTAAACTGCAGAGAGATTTAAAAGGGGGGAAACATGGGTGTTCTAACTACCTACACCTACTACCTTGGCACCCTGTCTGCTTGTTTAATTACTATAACACATTTGACACAGTTGAAAACTTTTGAGTTAAAATCTTTGTGTGTATTTTATATAGAACGATGTCTTTTATATTTTCTTACTCTGGATTGATCAGTCATTTTTTGAGGCTTCATTGCTGTAATACAGCTGTTGGTTATTTTTCTTTTTATGCTTAGCCCTTGCCCAAGGTGCTTTAAGGGGAGGAGGAATAGATCAAAATAATAATTTTTCTTCTCCTAGCATTAAGATAGGAGTTTTTAAATGACTCAAGCCAATTTATTGCAGAGTAGATTCATTGCGGATACACTCAAAATCTATCGGATTGATTGACGATGCTGTTCTATCGACATGTCTGTTACAAAAGAGAGTGTGGGATAATAGGTTGAAGATTTGATGAATACCATTTTGTTTAGAGAAAATTATATTTTGGTGCATTTAGTATATTTGTAATGTAGGAAAGACTTTGAAAGTTACCTTCAGAAAGTGTCTCTAGAAAGGCTTTCACTGCTGATACCAAGACTTGTGGTAATGGACAGTTCTGGGATTGCTCCAGTTCCAGGGGGATCCCACTGCTGGATGAACACAAAATACATTACTGTGGATTTTGTAGACTGAAGGTTTAAAAAACCCCACCAAACAAACCCAGCTTTATTTTGAACTTGACTTGTATATGTTGTATGTGTTTCTTTCAAATACTGGTGTGTTAAAATTGTTGTAATGAAAATGTTTATAATTTTCTAGATCTCTTTCTTAGGAGTGAACACCCTGGCTTGCTCACTGCCCTTGTGAAGTGGAAGATACTTCTTTCCTAATTCTTCCAATTTATGTAATTATTTTTTGGGTTTTATGAAATAATACATTTTCAAATTAGTGGAATTCATGAAACCAGGTAGTATAATTCCTAACAATGCATGTGAACTCATAAGATTCTCAGGGAAATAAGCTAATAGATTCCTCTTACCACTGTTTTATTCAATTGATGTTTCCATCTTTACTTTGGAGGTAAAAAGAGTATTAGATTGGATGTTGAAAGTTCTTTTTCATCTTTTCCACATTAGTTTTACTTTCTGAAGCATGACATCCCCAAGTTTAAATCTGAATTTAGAGCAGAGGCATATTCTGAGTGAAACAAATAAGACACACAGGAAGGGAAAGGTTTATTTCCAATTCTGTCCTCTTTATGGTTTATGTATTGCAGGAATGAAAGGCTTCTCCCAAATGAGTTCTGTGTGAGATGTTTGTTTCAAGTGTTTTTTGACACAGCTTGCTGATTTCATGATTAAGCTTTCTGTCCCACAAGTCTGTGGCCTAGCATTCCAGCCAGCACTGTTAAATTGTCTCCAGGCTCTCCATTCTATTTGAGGTGAGGAGGAGTAAGAACCAACAGTTGTTGGCCCTTCCTTGGCCATCTCTTGGGCCGCTTCTACTGTAGCTTTACTTTGAAGAGTCCCTAAGCTGGCTTACTCCAGGATTCATACCTTGGTCACTGGTCAGCCTAGGGTTGGAAAAAGAAAGCCATGCAAGAAGTGAGGTTGTGTTAGCAAGTAGAGAGCAAGACTCTTGCCCTATTTCTCAGGCACCTTCAGTGTGCATTCAGTAATACCCATGTCTTTGTCTCTGCTCCATGTGCGTAGGAGAATGGAGATTTCAGGATGAAATAGGGCTTTCCAGGAGAGAACAGCATCTAAGCATTATTTAGTCCTGGTGCCACCCTTCCAGCAATTATCACAACCTCATTTATTTTCCTCTCAGCTCTGATACAGGACTGCAGTTTTCTGTGCTGAAAGAAATTATGACTATTACTTTGATTATTCTACTTGGGTAATGGCATGATTACTGTACACGCAGGTGCCAATCTTTTTTCAGTTGGAGAATTGAATTCAGAGGTTGATATTGATACAGTTGAACACCTACAAATTTTAGTACAAAATATGAGACTCCTAGAGTTCTAGTTAGTTGCTTTTGGTGAATTGAAATAAATTCATAGTCTCTTCTTAAAAGCCCAGAGAAGAAACCAAAAAGTAACTCTATATGCATGATTCTTTTTAAAAATGAAGGCTAAGAAAATCCCAATTGATATATATAAGACATAACTTTTTAATTTATTGCTCAAGCATATGCAAAATAGGCATTAATTTTCGTAATATAAAATTCTTGATATGTAGCGCCTGGAGCTATGGTTTTGAAGCTAAATTGCATGTATTTACTAAGCCATATAGCTCTGCAATGTGGAAAATGGAAGTGCATTTCAAATGTGTGCAGGGATTGCTATTACTAAAACCAGTTGCAGTTTATAAGTGAGAAAAATAAAGCTTCAGATGGCAGATGAAGAGACACCTTTATTGACTCCATATGCTTGACTGCATGAGGTGCGTTCCTGAAAATGGGAAGCAAATGCCATATTTTAAGGAATTTCAGGAGTCAAGCATCAAGGAGTAATAGAGTTGACCTCTAATTTCAGAAATCATAGGCTAATGTTTGAGAACATTTCACTTCCAAACTTTATTTAAAGCTCTGCTTAGCACTCAGTTTTATGGCAGAAAGGATTTTTGGCTGGGAGGCACATCAGTTATACTGTTACCTACCAGACTTTTTCACTTTAACAGCAGACACCAATGGCCTCTAGGAATGAAATGCTGCTACTTACAGACTGCGTAGAGGTGTGGCTGGAATGGCCTTCAGTCCTTGGTTTCAGATGCATGGTTTTGCATCCTCTGTTCTTTTTGCCTTGAAGAAAGTACAGTTTACTTGTTTGATTTACTTCTAAGAGGAGATTTTTTTTTTTCCTTTTGAAAGGCTTGTTGCCTCCTTGTTGTTAAAATATTTTAACTGGCATTTTTCTATCTGCCACTTCCTAGAGTGTCCATTATCCATTGCTGCCATATGTTATCTAAAGGCTGAGTCTTGGAATTCTCAGTAGGCAGTTCTCAGCACGGGTGCTGCTCATCTTACAAAGGTCTTACAGAAATACAGGGTTTGAATGTGTATTTAGTGTAGAATTGATTCCACCCTCTGTTCCCTCCACCTAGAAGTAAAGATTCAATATGAACACAGTAGTACTCTTTCCAAGATGATTGAACTTTTGCTTTCAGTACAGGTGTGTAAATTTTTAGAAAAGTACCTGTTTTCCCACTAGATGAGAAATTTCAGTACAGGTAAGATAAAGCTATGACTTTCACCTACTCTTAACTTGACCATGTTCTTGTATGTCTGCTTCTTTTTATATGAATAAAAAAGTATTGTCAGCATGGTAACTGCCACCAGTAAGACACAGGAATATAGTGAAACATCCCTTTGCATGTTCCAAGTGATTATCAGTGTAACAAACTACCCATCATCCTTTATGAAAAATGAAGGGAGGAATTTAAATGTATTTTCTGTGCAGCAGTTTTCTTGGAGTTATTCATAAATATCCGTATCTGCTTTCTGAATATAGAATTTGAGCCTTATTAATACATTATACATAAATTTGTACAGGAGCAAAAGATTCTTTTACTATCTGGACTCTTAAAGTGACAGGTTTAAAGATGATTAGAATACTGTGGATGAATATAGCTTCTTTTTAAAAAAATGCAGGATAGCAAATGTGGGACAAGATTTCTAGGTAGGCTTATTATTTTTTGCTAAACTAGACTGATAAGTCTGGGAAAATTAATAAGCTTCTGGGCAGTCAAACTTCTTTTGAGATCTGAAAAAGAAACAGCAGATTTCAAAGGTAAATACAACCTGAGAGCAATTAACAGTTTTGCCTAAAATCTAGTTAGGATAGTTAGAGGTTTGTTCATCATGTCTAAAATCCTAAGTGGTCTTAGAGTTATTCAGCAACCCCTTTGCTAGGAGTCATGGTTAGATTTCATCTATACAACTCAGTATTTTTCCAAGTGCAGTTGTCTTGTACAGATACCCAGTGTGGTCTGTGTTTTTAGTAGTCTGCTCTCATGCTCGATAGTGCCTAAAAGCTGGGAGGCTGTTTATTGTCCTGCTTGTACTCATTTCAGATTTGGAGGAAAGAGGGAGTTAGCTCTAAAATACAAAGTGATTAGTGGCAAAGTCAAAAGCTTTTTTCTACTGAGTTATTCCTTTGTCAAATGGCACTTTTATTTACAGTCAGGCTATTTGGACAATTCAAATGAACTTGAAACAATCCTGATGCTTCAGCACCGCAAATCGGAGACTGGAAAATAAAAGGAGAGAAGACACAGTTTTCATGCCATGGTTCCTACCCTGCACTACTGCTGAGGGAATGAGCTGCCACATCTGCTGTGCTGTGACAAGATCTGGACAGGATATGTCCAGAAAACTGTGTGGTAATAGAACACAGGCACATGATGGAATTGTTTGAGCTGTAGGCTATCTGTGCTGTCACATTTAATGGCATATATTCAGCATCATCACAAGCAATAGTGAGGCAGAACACAAGTATGTGAAGCAGTGGTTTTTGTGGGTTTTTTTTTTCCCTTTTCAGAAATGAATTTCTTGTATTTTTTAATTAGACTGGTGCAGAAACACTGATATTCTTGATAAGGTTATAGCAGCAGTGCTGAGAACATGGCAATTTAAGCATTTTTCAGTTTAACATTGCTTACCCAAACCTGAATAAAAGAAGAAACTCAAAATGAAAGCCGGATTATTCCTGTTAGATGTTTTTGCAGCAATGTTACAAAGTGAGCAGTATCAGTGTAGCTGATTGTATTTCTGTTTACACATAAAGTTACTGTTGTTCTGGATCTGGATTGCAGTTTTAATTTTTTTTCCCAGTGACTTTATATTGGCATTCAGATTGATTCTAGCTATCAATTTCAGACAAATTAATTTATGAATGATTTTTTAAAATATAAAAATTGTTCGTAATTCTTTTAACTCCTTGGAACTGGTAAACTAGAGCAGCCCTTCTGCAGCAGTCTCCTGTTGGACTGCAACTGGAGCTATGGGTTTTCTGTTCCTCCAGAATTTGTGCCACTTCAGCTCTGAATTTTATAATACCTAATGTCTTCAGCATTCTGTTTGTGACTGAGATTCAGAGAGGTCCTGTGTATTCTTTGACCTCAGTGTCTTCATCTATAGAAAAAGGAGACGAGTGCTTAGTTACTGCCAGGAATATATAAATACTTCTAAAGGTTACAAGTTCTCTCAAAGTGCCTTGTATTTCTGCTGATTTCATGTTAAGTAGAAAACTGTGTATATCTGTAGTGGGGGCAGTGGGGGGAGTTCAATCATCAGATGTCAAGTTTTGTTTTATTTTTGTAATGATTTGTGCAGTTGGTAATTGGCAGCTGACTCCTCAGAGGGAACTTCAGGGAGATCATGTATTTAGAAACAATCTGGCTTCTAGTATTTTTCTCTCCATTGTATCTTTCTCCCTTTGTTCTTTTGTTCTCTATTATGAAGGACATTTGCATGAAAACAAGATTTTTGTTTCTTAAGAGTTCAACTGCTCCTGCTGCTATTCCCCACCTGGCCATAATCCTCTGTTTGTGACATCTCAATTGGTGGCTGTGCAAATGATTATGATGTCAAAGACAGGATTATGACTTCAGGTGAGAAACAAACAGCAGGAACTGGTGAACTCAGGAGAAATACACATCTAGATTTTTCTCTAACCATTTTTATGCTAAAAACACGAGGAAAATGCAGACAATAGATTATGTATGCATATATAAAATAACTGATGTATAAGCAAATTTTATCATACCAGTGAGTATAATGACAAATCTATTTTTAAAATTGCTTCAACTGTTCTTATTATCTTGTTTCATCTGCAGAAAATTACATAGTATCCAATAGAATAGTATCCAAAGGCCGTGTGATTAGGACATTTTTATTTGGCTTTACCAGGTTGCAATTCTTGTGGGAAACTTGTTTGGTTGTAGCATGAAGTCCTTAATTCAATAAAAATAAGGTTTGATGAAAAATGTAGGATCAGGAGTCCACCAACCTGTGCACTATTAATGAATAACAGGGGTCCATGGTGACAGTGTTGTTTTGGACCAGATCAAGTTGATACAATGGGAGGTTCTTGAATTTATCTGAGTCCTTATGCATGTTTTTTTCCCTCTTATTTATTATTGTGTTCCTGAGGAACCTCACTACCCCCAAAAACTAATTCCGTGGAGGATTTTTGCACAGTATCTCCTTTTGAAAATTCTTGTTTTCGGTTTGAAGTCCTATGACAGTAAATGGCATGTAAGGCTCTGCAATCATTTGCCATTGTGCATTGGGGTAGTGGGAGGGAGATACTTGCTATAAAAACTTTACATGTGTAAGAATTACAGTGCAAGGAGGGGTTGTGTGTGCATGTGTTACAATACCAGCTAATGTAACTAACACCTGAGATTACCTCTACAGTGAGTTAGTGGTGGGTTCTGAAGAGATTGCTCCACAGAAATCTTCTCCAGGGAATTAGCTCGTATGCTTCTGCTATTGCTGTTGTTACAGTCAGGGCTGCCACTTCTTTAGCTAATGCTAAGGTCATCACATTGACAGTTTTTTGTTAGGAAAAGTTTCCCCTTCTGCATCATTTCAAGAATGCTTACTTTTAGGTGCATTCTGTTTTTCTTTTGAGGTATTTGGCACTTTTTTGATGTAGTTTGTGAAATTAAATGGAAGAAACTGTCTTATCCTATAGGCACTTACTATCCTGTGTCAGGGTGACTGGGTGAAAATAGAAGTGAAGAGAGGAGTTAATAATCACAGAAATAAAGATGTGGAAAATTATCAAATCCACAGTTTTGGTACTTGAAGTACTCCCAGCTTCAGAGAAAGCATGGGGAGTGTTTTTGTTGTTTTTTTGTTTGGTTTTTTTTTTCATACAGAATTGAAGTAGTTATCTTCAGGAACCCAGTAATTAAAATTAGAAAGTTTGTAACATTTTTATTGCAGGCAATTCGAGCAGTGAGATTAACATTAGATAATCTTATCATGAAATAACCAGGCACCCTGTGATGATCTGACACATGAGAGGCTGCACATTGCTTCTGGTCCCCCAAGGGCTGTGATTGTTTTATGTTTTTATCTTATGATAACTGTGCTTTGGTTTTGCCCTTTTCTGAGAGTTTCATATGGTACACATTCCCTCCCACCCCCCTGTAAATGTGTAATTTAACACTACTCTAGGAAATGGCAAATCAGCATGAAACTATTAATCTTATCTCGTATCATGAGACAGACACTGATCCAAGAGATCTGATTACTTTGCTTCTGGTCATTATCCAGACTGAAAGCTGGGCTTGGGCATTTGTATCATCAACAGTTCTGCCATCAGAAAGCAAAAGATTTCAAAAACAAGGGGAAATTCTATAATCAATCCAGTTTAAAATTTCATGCCAAAAATACAGTGTGGGACCAAACTCCTTTTACTCACCATGTAGTGATCTGCTGTGGTATTAAAGCCTGCTTTTCTGCCTTGTGTCTACAGCCTCTTTTCTTGGACATTTAAAGCATATAAAAGGGCTTGAATGTCAGGCATGAAGACTTTAAATAATCTGTAATGATTTTAATGAGTTTATAGTCACAATTGCCACAGGTTTGTTGTGCTTCAAGCTCTGAGATGGAGCTTGCAGTCAGACTCTCTGCTGCCAAGTTGCTTTTTGGTCTCTTTGAGAAGGACGGAAACTGGCTGCTGTTCAGTCCTGCAGAACTGGACTAGAATGAACTGTTCTGGAAATAGCCAGCTGCATCCCCTCCCCTCCAATGAATATACTATGAACAAGAAATTCAGTTTTAATTTGTATTACAGTTCAGCTAATTAAAGAAAACTAATTTTAAATACCTGACTGAATCAATGTGATTTGGGTTTCTTCTTTACTCTTTTCCTTTCTTCCTTTTTTTATCCTCTCCCACTCAGTTCTTTAGAATTCTTGCCACTTCATGTCTATTCCCCCATCAAGTTTGTGACACTTCAAAGATGTACTTATTTAATATGTAACAATGAGGGATGCTCAATCTCTTTTGTTTTATTTCTCCAGTAGGATAGTGCTTTCTGCTCTACAACAATATTTGGAATTTATTTTTTAATTTTTTTAATTTTATTTTTTTTTAAACTATTTACAAATCCCAAGGGACTTTACAGATATGAAAACATGCAGTGAAAATTTCATCTCTGCTCAACTGGTTGGTTCAGACTCTGTTCCTGGAGGGAGTGAATTTTACTGTTGACCTAATTCTGCTCCCGTTAAAGTTGGCACTGAGTGGTTTTAGAGATTTTCAGCCTCAAAGCGTTACTATTCTTTGTTGAATCCAGAGTTTAAGGAGAAGAGCTGAAGTGCAGCTCTTTCAGATGGAATAAGAAAGGCTTAAGCCTGGTAATCAGAATACATTTATTAACTAACTCTATCCAAAGAAGTGGCCTGGGAACCCAGATAGAGGGTTCAACTTTGCATTAGAATTTTGTCAGAACTTCAAAAATTTATACCTTTTGGCGTCATGGCCTGTCTCCACTTTCTGCATCATGGGCAGTTTCTGCTTTCAGCATTTGTGCAGACTTACTGTACAGACTGAGTTCACAAAATGGGAAAGGGTAAACCAGAGGAAAGGTAAAATATAAAAACACAAACTTCTATGGTTTACACTGGGAAAAAAATTCCCTGTCAAAAATTGGTTCCCTACTGGAGAATAAATAAGGTCAAATTTCAGTTGTCTTATATATGTTACATTAATTGCTATCATGTGGAGAAGAGATTTTTCTTTTTTTGTATGCATGTTTGTTAGGATACTTGTTGGAAATGGCACAGAAGAGGTATGGAGTGCCTGCTCATCACAATAGAGCTCCTGAATTGACACAACACAACAAAATAGTGGTTCTCTATTGAAAGGAAGGTCCACATCTGCAGCTTGAAAAGACAAGCTGTAGGGGTTCACAGCTGGAAACTGTCCTTCCACATCCCTGTCCTGCAGCCTGTAAGCAGGGTACAATGTTCTGCTAACTGTTAATGTGAGACTATGATCACATACTTAATTACTTTACATATTTTTGTGTGCCTATGACCAAAGCCTGGTTTTGTGCAAGGATGTAATTTTCTCTGTCTCTTGCCATTGCTGAATCTTTGAGAACTTTATGAAACTGAATTTGGTTTAGTAAACCTGTGGGTGGTTTTACTTGGTCTTCTGTCCAGACTGCTGTGCCACAGAGTGCAAGCAATTGCCTCACAAAGTCACTGCTGCCCTGGAGTAGTGAAGGGCCTTTCAATTTATTCTTGGTCATGCCTTTTAAACTTAATGTTCTTCTTCACACAAGCTGGTAGTGATGGATGTCCATTCAGACAACCTAATGTCCTATGGT